CCCCAAAACCCCAAAACCCCAAAACCCCAGTAGTCTATGTTGAGAAAGTAAAAGTTTTTTCAATCACTTCACTAAATATATAAGTTAATTCATAAAGCATGAAATAAAAAACAGTAAAGTTAAGGTAATCTTATACTTTTCAGGCATGCTCTAAAGTATGCTATATTTCTTGAATCTCTCCTTATATCTGATTTATTTCTTAAATTAGTCTACTATTTCCATGCCTTCCATTTTTATAACCACCAGCACTCCCATAACTTAACTCATTTGGTTCACAAGACTCATTGAAATTCTAACTCAATCCTCTGAAGTTGAGATGCTATATTTATTACTTTTGAAAGCTATCAAACTGTGTCTAATGGTTCTATTATTGCTTTGAAGAGCTATACTTATTACTATGACTTCGCTCATAGTCTTCTATTCCTTTATTCTCTAAATTCTTATACTTCTCAGCTATTATATTCTTAAGACCTATTTATCTGATTTTAGTGCTTGGGATGTGTGTCGAAGGATCACTGTTTTCTTTGTCGTAGAATGATGATGATTTTTTATAGTTTTACTAGTGAGTTTCATATGACTTATTCAGTTTTTGGTTGTGGTTTTATGAATAGTCATTTTTATTACCACTGCAACAAGCATATGACTAATTTAGATTCTATTTTACTCTTGGCTACTCATATCTATATCCGCATTCTTAATTTTTATCATTGACTGGTGTTTTAATTAAGCCTTTTCGATCTTTCTAATAGAGATAGTCTTCTTGAGTATCTTTGTCCTTTAATTCATCCTCAGTTGTTATATAGATACTATTTTTCATACTTTGACTTAGTGTGTCATTAAGATGGTAGTTCAGCTTTTACTCATCAATCTTCAACTGCTGTTTTTGAATGATGTGCTAAAGGTTTTTAATGAGCTGTGTTTGGTTTAGCACTGTTGATTTATATTCATCTACTTGCCTTTCTAAAATAGTCTTATCTTCTACCACTCTAATAAACTCTTTGTTATTGAATATGATCTGTTTTGTATCCTTAGCAGATGACTGTTAACTTCTTCCTCTTTTATAGGCAGTTTCAGTGATAGTATTATATTTCTCCTTTAGTCTTTTGAATTACTCCTTATAGTACTGCAATTCTTCATCTTATTATCTTTCTCTTTTCTTCAGCATTTCATTTTCCTAAATCAGCATCTTAATTTCATTTTGATTTAAAGTCATCATATTATCTTTCTATTTTGAGTACTTCTCAATTACCTTGTTAAGCTAGCTTTGAAGCTGTCTGAGTTTATCTTAAAGTGTATTCACTTGCTCTTTATTGTCCACCAATCTTTAATGTAAGTCTTTATTCCTTAGTCTTTCCTTTTCCAAGTCTTACTGAAGCAGTGAGTTTTAAGTCTAATTTGATTGGGTGATGTTGTGAAAGTACTTATTTATAAGGTCTTAGGTTTCTTTGCGGAACTTTTCAAAATTATGCTTGCGACGGTAAGCTTTAACCTGTAATGTCTCATCTCTTTATGGATGTAGATTTTAGATCAATAAATGCTCCATTAGACTGCAGCGTTCCTCTATATCTTTTAAGAATTCAGTAAGCTGATGATTCTTGAGTTCAAATTCACAGATCTATTGGACATTTTAAGCTGATACTTTCATTTGCATAAAGATAGAGTACAATTTTTCTTTGCTTCTATGCTTACGTTTATCAATTTACTCCAAATCTTTATTGATCTTGATCAACTTATCCTTATACTGATGATCTTTGTTCTTAATCTGTCTGCTCATCTCGCTGTTTTACTTTTGAAATTCCTCCAATTGCACTTCTAATTCCTTAATTCTTTTAATGCTCTAGTCTGATTCAATTGCTCTGTTATTATGTATCTCCTCTAGTTGCTTAACCTATATATCTAATAAATTTTTCTCATGCTCTATACGTAACTTTTCTTTCTTCATAAAATCATAGGAATTCTAGGCATCAACCAATTATTTTTTTGATTGATATAGTTCTTATTTAAGAATGTTAATAGAAGATGTAGGTGTGATACTCTCATCTACAGAGAGGCCTATATCGGGTGAAGCAGGGTTCATAGTTTGAAAGGTGTTGACATTTTGAGACTACTATTGCTGTGAGAAATCTTGGAAGTTGCTTTGACTTAAAAGACTATGATAGTTTTGCTTGTTTTTTATTTAACTATTGTTGATGGTTTGATTGTTATATTGATTAAACTACCCATTATTGTTATTGTGTAAAATACTGTTATTAAAGGAAGGATATTGGTTTTAAGAGGTGAAGAAATTAGAATAGAGGTTGACTCCTCTTGTAGGGGTGCCGTTGAATTTCTACTATTCAACTTGATGATGAAACGTATTCTGAGGAGGAAGAGGTTAGTTATAAGTCAGTTATTAAGCGCTTGAAAGCTGATTGAAAAGCATTGGTTAATGCTACTAGTCCTCAATGAAAGCTAGAAATATATGATTAAAAACTATTTCTTACCTTAAGACCTTTAGTCCTGCTAAGTTGATCTATCAAGTAGATTGAGGAAAGAAATGCCATTTTCATTATAACCTGAAATACTTGTTTCTTAAATCCCGCTCATCCCATTATGAGTTTATCTGATGGCACTTATACCCCCAATTTGACTCAGACTGTCTTTTTAACCTGAAAATGGGTTATTTGCATTGCTGACCTGCTTCGGTGTACTTTCTTTGTTAAAAGAACAGGCATTTTTTAATTGGAGATTATTATCTTGATTTCTCTTTCCTCTATTTCTATGAAATTGATTATCTCTTTGATCTTCTGTTCTGTATTAGTAGTCAAATTGAGGCTTTTATTTCATTCGCTCATCAGGCTGACTCGTTTGCCTTTCATGTCTTAATTTTTACTAATAACCAATCTTTTGTTTATCTTCTTCCTAGCTGCTCTATCTGTATCTCTAGTGATGACTGACTTCACCTATAGTCCTTCCATTTTCATTTTCTAATAAGTATTACTGGCTTGAGTATTCCTCAGCTGTTGGATACTTGCCCAATCTTTCACCCCTGTGAGTATTTCTACTTGATTGGATCTAAAACTTATTCATCTCTCTGTAGGTATTCTGAGGTCTCTAATTTGATTCATGAGTGTAATTTATTTGATTACTGGATTAGTTCTGCATAGCGAAATTTGGGCTTCTTGTCTCCATCATATATTATCTATCTCTCTAGCTCTCTATAATGAAACTTTTGTTGCGTTTTTCATTTTGCTCTGTATAATGATTAATATCCTCAAAGAACTCCTGCTATTTGTTTTCAAGTTTACTATTCAATCTTTCTTAACTAATTTCTCTTTAAATCATCTCTCTCAGACAATTAAGGTTGAGCTCTTATATGATAGTTTCTATATTTTAATTTGACATATTGGTGGTTGTCACATTTACATTTTTATATTTCCTTTGCTATTTCTACGAATAGTTATTGCGATTTTCAATAAACTAAAAGGCATATTCTGCTACTTTTATTGCTATTGCTGAATGTATTAAGCGCTTGACAAGTCCTTATTAGATTAATTACTAAAAGTCTCGAGGTCTACGCTTAAATTAGCTGCACTATGGTATTTGTGATTGTGAGTTACTAAGACTGGGGAATGATTTGCTAAGTTTCTGACTAGAGCTTTGATTAGTATGACTCTGAGATATGATTTGATTATTAAATGATTCTTTATATTTAATTTCTGTTGCAAATACTGTAAATTTTATTCATGCATTGATGAATTATTATTTTTATTAATGAATTTCGATTCTAGTTATTGGTTTGCCTATTAAAGAAGGCCTTAGCCAAAAAATAATT